TTGCTTTGTTACTGTCATGTGTTTTGTATGGTGCAGCCCAATAAGCCAGACAGAAGTAGAAAATATGCATTTGAAGTCTGGGGAGCCTTCGACATAAGACTGTCTCTAATGTGTCAGATTAATGCATATACAACTAACCCAAACCATTGTATGTGAGTGTTGTGTTAACTGTTGATGCTTAGGTAACAGTTTCCTTGAGTCTAAAGTCTCACTGAAAAATCTTATTTTTGTGCATCCACACATGCCAATAAGTGAATCCGGTGCCTTTCCCAAGCCTTGTATGAACAGGACTGGGGTAAGGCTGGCTTTCTTTCTTGTTTTTCTTCTCATGGGTACTTAGAATGAGCCTTTAAAGGAAAATTCCATGTTTCTCAGGCCAAAAAAAAAAAAAAAAGCATGAATTGAAGTTAACTTTATGCTATGTTTGGAAGTTATTTATATTTTAATACTAAATGCATATCTGTTAGCAAGGCTTATGTTTCAAATAGGCTGTTAATGGGTTTCATTTATGTCCCAGATGCAATCATTCTTGCTGGAAAGCCTCAGCATCTGGAAGAATAAGTTTGTGGGTGATCAGTTAAATTTACTTCATTTGCTTTGATGCAGTAGTTTTAGTAGTTTTCAGGGTCAGAGGCTTTTAAGGTAGTGTTAAAAATGGGGTATTGGATAGAGCTGCAGGTGTTTGAAAGTCTCCCTCCCTCCCTTCCCTTTTTTTAAAAGTGTTTTCATTTTTGAGGCAGGGTCTTTTCTTAGCTCTTGCTGTCCTGAACTGGCTATATAGACCAGAGCTGACTTTGAACTCATGGAGGTTTTCCTGCCTCTGCCTCCTGAGTGCAAGCAGTGGCTTTCAGTTAATGTCAGGAGGCCTCTGGTTCCTATGTGAGCACTGCACTACTTGCTTCTGCCACTGGGTGGTAGTATTTTCTTTTCTTTTACATAAACCATAGTGCATTCTTCAAACTTTTTGTTCCAGAGAGGGACCTCTTTACACACCTTAAAGTCAGGGCATTTTCAGGGACGCTGTACTGATGTTTATTATGGTAGTAGCTTAAACTAAAAAAAAAAAAAAAATTGTTTTTTAAATTTTCACATACTTTCAAAATAAAAATATACACCTGTTACTTTTTCTTATAGATTTTTATGCACATTTGCAAAATAAAACTGTGTGTGTGTTAATGTACTCTGTTACTTGGTTTAATGGAACACACTGGATTCCTGTGCCTCCCTTAGGCCGCATCTGTCAGTCTGTTGACATGGCATGCATTAAGAAAGCCTGTTCCATATGGAAAGCTATTAAAAGGAGAGCATCTCCGAAGGGTCTTTCTCCTGGGACACTGCTGCTCTGGGTGCTGCTCTATTTGTAGATTAGCTCTGTGGATTGAGTAGGGTACTAATATTGCTTTTAGTATTAATTTGCATTTCATTCACTTTGTAGCTGTGTTTTTTTCCCTAATGACAGACCATTTTTTTTTTTTTTTTTTCTTCCCTGGAGTAAAGATATAACCCCAGCTTACTCATTTTGATATCACTAGCAGTGTCATAGGGCCCACAGTTAATCTATAGGTTGTCACCCCCGCTTACTCCCTGAAAGGGGAGAACTGATCCTATGAGCCTTCTGTGTAGTGCTCTCCAGGATGGCAGCAAAGCAGTGAGTGACACTCTGGGACTTCAGGACGCTGCCATTGGCTTTAATGGGAGGGGAGAGGGGGGAGGGGAGGCAGCGGACTGTTGGAAACAGTGCTTTTTCTGAGTGTTTGTTTTTATGTCGTTTTCTCCTTGGTCAACTGTCTTGTGAAGTATTTTCTGCATGTTACTCCCTAACATGCAATTGGCATGTGGTAAACATCCAATTTGATGAGTCAGGGGTGAGATTATTGAACTGTAGGTTGCCAGTCCTGCTCACGTAACTCGTGTAGTACACAGGTCCATTTTTATGCTCTCATAGACTGGATGAACCTTATCTGAATTGGAAGTTGAAGAGCTTGCAATAACATCGCAGCCCTGCATCTCATTTAGTTCATAGAGGATTATGCAGTTGTATTTAGTTGGTTACATTTTTGCCTAGTAAGTTTTGAAAGTGTTTTTTTTTTTTTTTTCTCCTTTCTTTTTTAAAAATAAAAATTGCCTGAGATACATTGAATTTTGTTTTGGAAGAACACTGTGTGTGTTTCCAATACTGTGGCTGTTCATGCTTAGCCTCCCTGCCCTGTGTGTGCCCTGACTGTGGTTTTCTCCACTCCTGCATGCTAGTGACGATGACTCACCAGCTGTGGCTCATGCACGCTTTCCTCCCACTCGCTTATCCTTTGTTGTAGCTAAAAATGAATGACACAGGCGCTCGGAACTTACTGCTGTAGTGCTTTTATTGGAATTGTAGCCTGCTTAGGAAGGAGTGGGCATTCACTTTTACATTGTCGTAGGATGTGACTACCATTTTACTGTGGTTGGTGTTTGCAGGGCCGCGTACACGTCTGGTTTCTCAGTATGCCCTCATCATCCCCTATTTAAACATTGAAATGGGGTTCACTGTTGGAAGCAGAGTTCTGTGAGGAAGCGGTTTTCTTGTACTATAGTAGTGTAGAATCCATGGTAGGTTTGAATACATTTCACCTGTTTATTATATGTGGGTATTTGAAATTCATCTTAATGCTTTGGGAAGAAAGTTTTGTGCCTGTCAGCACATGGCACCATCCATCATGCCGAGACCCAGGAGCCCCTTGTAGGTGACTGGTTCAGAAATCCTGGCTAGGAGAGAGATTTCCACTCAACTGAGCTTGGTCACTGTCAGCATCTTTAGATTTCAAAATACTGCAAAGCAAGGGTTATGTTCCTTATTTACAGTTGTCCCATTGAGGAGAGATTGGGGTGCCCCATTATTGCATTTGACTGAGGATATTAGATTAGAAGATTGCAAAGTGTTCTTTTGTAGCTGTGAAATCATTTGGTTCTCTGACATAACAGGACAGTAAATTGAACTCTATTCTCCTGACATAATTCCTCTAAATTTTGGATGTTGGAGCATCTTCAGGTTCTGCAGAGCTATAGCTTTAGAGATTTCTGTGGCGTAGACTAGCAGGCTGGCGGGTGGTTTCAGGAGAAGCGATAATGGGAATGTGCTGGTAACTTCTACCGCTATTCCTGCCCCATTCCCCTACTTTCTCAGCCTTAAATCTTGAGTGCAAACCACGAAGTGAGCACTCTTGGACAATCTCCCTACTCAGGCAGAGTTTTAAGAGAGGAAACTAGTGTTTTGGGAGTAGCAAGAGTTAGCTGTTGCTGTATGCCTGGCACTAGAATATAGTAAAAACAGAGCTAAATAAAGCAAAGATACTACTATTCTTTGTTGGAGTATCTTCATGTTTTAAGACTTGTCCTGATGTTTCCAGGCAAATGTATAGTTAGATTAAGACTCTTGAAAAAGGATTCCAGCCTTTTCCTCCCCTCCCCTCCTCTCCCCTCCCCCCTCTCCTCTCCTTCTCTCCCTCTCTCCCTCTCTCCTTCTCTCCCTCTCTCCTTCTCTCTCTCTCTCTCTCTCTCTCTCTCTTTTGCATTTTGTAATCAAAGTTATTAGTTGTAGGAAAGATTAACTTTTTAATGCTGTTGAGCACTGACCTATGCTTCCAGAGTTCAGTCATATATAACCCTTCTATACCTAATGCTATTTACTATTAAGAAATTGCTTTAGAATAGTTGTTTGTATGCAGGTATATAGTGCCTATGTCTAAATCATTGTCTGAAATCAACCTTACGATGAGGCTCCCATATTCCTTAAAAGTTGGTTGGTTATACAAGATACATTACATGTGTTGGTGGTGAACTGGACTGTTTCTTGATGGAACTGGAAACCCTTCTTGACCATTAAGTGTGTAGTGGAAAGTCTCAGCACTTCTGTAAGGGCTAAAGGAAATATTCTAGGACAACAGTAATAGGATTTTCATAGGGTATTTGTTCAAAATGTGTATATGGATCTGTACACACATGCATATGTATTCACACACATCTACACAGGTGTACACACACACACACACATACACACACACACACACACCCACACACACACACTGTTAGCCAGCGGTTATATGCCTTGGTTGGATGCCTAATGAGCGATTTTGTTCCCTTAGAGACTTAAAGGTAATTATGTCCCCAGGGCCTGAACTTACCTTACCCATGAGCTGTTGGCAGAGCCCTTCTGTATACCATTGCGTTAGGTAGTTTTCTTCCTAGTCAGCTAGAAGCAGCCCTAGTTGGAAACTTACACATGTAGTGAGTTTCATTTCAGAAGTACATTGTAATTTTGTGATTCACCCAATAAATGTTTTAAAAAAGAAATAAACCCCTGTTCTTTTATATTATGGTTAAAAAGTCTGAAAATAAGATTTGCCAAAGAAAATTGTTTTTCCATTCTTGAAAATGTCCTAGTGAGCCAGGCATAGTGGCACATGCCCGTAACCCCAGCACTCAGGAAGAAGAAGCAGGAGGATTGCAAGTTCGAATCCAGCTGGGCTACATAGTGAGACCCTGACTCCCAACACAAAAAGGAGAAAGTCCTAGTGAGGACACAGTGGCATTACCCAGTTATTGGTGATCGAGGAGAAGCTGAGAGCTGTAGAGCAAACAATGTAACTAAAATCGTACAGAGTAGTAGGCCTGTTGTTGAACTTGTTAGCATAGGTAACAGAGAGCAGGAAATGTGTCCGAGCTCAGCCACCAGAAGCAGCCCTAGTATTCTAGTCCAGGACTTATCAACAATAAACGTGGATTTTCCCCGGGACACTTGGTGGCACCTTGCCGGACGGCTCGGAAGTCTCTCACTTGGTGGGACCTTGCCGGATGGCTCGGAAGTTTCTCACTTGGTGGGACCTTGCCGGACGGCTCGGAAGTATCTCTTGGCTTCTCACCTGCTCTTCTGCAGCTGCTCTTAGACCTGTAAAGGGACCGTGGGCGCTTGACTCAGTGACATTACTTCTTGAGACACGTGTTTTCCTCTGTTTTCCTTATAGCTTTTGAGGAACTTGAAAAAGCCTTGAGCGCAGCCCAAAAGACCGAAGAAGCACAGAGAAGGATGAAGGCAGAGATGGACGAACGGATGAAGGCAGTTGAGAGAGCCGGCGAGGAGGAGCGCTGCCGTCTTCAGCGGGAACTGAGTCAAGTGGCGAAAGTAAGGGTGACTTTGATCAGGGTGGCTTCAGTCCCATGTTTAGTCTCCAAAGCTTGGCTTGTAAGAAAGTCAGTTTGTGTTTTAGACCCTGGGCATTTAGCGATGTTCAGGAGGCAGTGAAGAGCACTTTGGTAGAGAGGGTCCTATTTAGACAGGTCCCTGGGTCCTTCAAAGCCTTGCCCCCTCTCCAGCTGTGATGTCCCCTTACTGGCTCCCTGACCTGAGGCTCCAGGAAGGTAAATCGCTTAGCTGCTTCAGTGCAAACCCTCAGAACTCAGGGAACTTAGGAGTATGTGACTAAGGTTGGGTATTTAAATGTTTTCCAGGGCAATTAGTGACTTACTGGGTTTTTATGCACTGGTGAGGATTGAACCTTTGGCTTCATATATGATGAACACTTGTTTACCACTCACTGAGCTACAGTCCCAGCCCCTGAAAAGATAGTTATTAATGTCCTCCTTACTCTTAAAATATGTAGGTATTTTCAAAGTGAATCATTTTTATATAGAGTTGTCTCTTTGGAACTTACAGAGATAATTGCTGTGTGTGTGTGTGTGTGTGTGTGTGAGTGCATGAGTGTGTGTATGAGTCCTATAGCATGTGTGGAGGTCAGTACAAATTGAGAGAGTTGTTTTTTTTCTTCTACCATGTGGGCTTTACAGATAGAATTCAAGTCATGAAGCTTAGGGCCAGGTGCCTTCACCTGCTGAGCCATCTTTCCGGTCCATAAAGTTGTAGAGTTTTGTTTGTTTGTTTGTTTGTTTGTTTGTTTTGTTTTTGAGACAAGATTTCTCTGTATAGTTCTGTCCTGGAACTCATGGAGATCCTTCCGATTAGGTGTTGGGACTAAAAGCGTGCATCACCACTGCCCAGATTATTAAGTTGTCTTTTATGACTAAGGAGTCTGAGGCTGAACTGGTCAGTATGCGAGAGTGCTTGCTGTGCAAGCATGAGGGCCAGAGTTTGAATCACCAGCTTCCAGGTAAAAAACTGGGCGTGGCTGCAGACTGGCAGATCCTGAGAGCGGCCTGACCGGTCAGCCAGCATAGCTGTAAACTGCAGACTTCCTGATTCAATGGGAGACCTGTGTCCAAGGCAATAAATCACAGAATAGGAGAGGAAGACTCTGCCCAGTGTCCCCTGGCCCCCACATGTGTGCACATGGCAGCCGCATCCCACACTCAAGTGCAAGCACCACACACAGCATGCAGATACATAAGAAAAAGGAAGAGTAAGTTTCAAAACCCCCAGGTTTCCAGTTTTTCCAGCCAAGTGAACATGTTAGTATAGCCTGATCCCCAGTCTACCTCCCTTCCTGTCCTTCATTTCATACCTGCTCTCAGTGATTATTTCTCTATTTCTTCCTGTTCCTTCATCGATTCCTGGTTTCTGTCCTTGATGTTTGGTTATGGCCACTAAAGTGAATAAGGAAGTTACAGGCTATAACAAGTGTTTTACAATGATCTGGAAGGGCCTGCAGCTTTTACTGATTAGTGCAGAAGGCTACTATGTAAATACATTGTGCATACAGATACAGAGGGTGGAAAACTAATTTTCACACATTTACTTTCCTCTGTGGGACTAGAAAACATCTAGAAAAGAATCAATTAATTATGGTCCATTACTGGATATACATGGCCTTGGCTCAAGCTCTCTGTGTTTTAAATTTTTTAATATGGAAAAGCAAAAGGGGGCGGGGAGCTTATTGAATGTTGCCTCATTGGGACAAGGAACAGAGAGATTTGGTGCCCACCCACCTAGTCCATCCGGGGTTTAGGCTTAGATGGAGCCAGGGCTGCTCATGTAATCCTGTCCAGCACTGACTGCCTCAGCCTCAGCCTCAGCCTCAGCCTCGTCTGTGGGTCCGTCTCTTTCCCAGCAGGATATTCTGGGCGAATTTCAATGTTTTCCTTTTTAAGTGGTCATGTGATGTGTGTTAATATTAGTATGGAGTCTAACAACAGTAATAATTTGTGAATTATTTTGAAGATAATGACATGACTGTGACAGAAGTCAAAAGATGAGGCTGGGGTGATGGTGCAGTAATGCATTTGTTGTGCAGATTTGGTCCCTTTGTTTGGACCCCAGCACCCAAGGAGAGAGCCGAGTGTAGCTAGCTGTGCACGCCTGTAACCCTAAGACTGAGGAAGCAGAGACAGATGGAGGCTGGGGCAGTGGCCAGACAGTCTCGCTGTGCCAAGAAGTAAGATGTAGAGCGATAGAAGGTGGCACTGGACATGGTCCTCCGCATGCTCATAATCACACACGCGTGCACACCGAGCACACACTTACAACTGAAAGATAAACAGTGTCCAGTGAGGGCTGGGAATGCAGCCCTGACGGTGAGTGCTTGCCCAGCACACACAACACTGGGCATCCAGCCGCCTTTTAGTTTTTCCAAAAAGAACAAGCTTCTTTTTAAATATGCTTACAGAGATGGTCCCCGCGTTAGGTTTCTATTGTCTGGTGCCCTTTAGTGTCAGAACTATCTACACTGATAGCTGGTCATGGTGCCATTTATTTATAGGCTGCTCAAGATCCCCTCATATAAAGTTCTCTTGCGTGAGTCAGTGTCCTGCTGGTATTAGATTGCCAGTGTTTGCTACTGCTGATTCTACGCACTAGCATTATGCGTATTGGCTCTCTTATACATTCCTTTTTGGTAGATTCTTTAAAGTGAATCCATTTTTTCTCCAGAAAAAAAGTATATCTGTTTTTAATTATTGGTCTGCTTGCTCCAAGCCCTGTGATGGGCAGGGTAGACTTTTACAGCCAGGTGTTGGAAGTTCCCCTCGTCACAAAGATAGTCTGCTTCTCTTTTACCCTGGGCTTAGCGTGAAAACAACAACTGTCATCGTTGTTACCTGCAGAAGTCTTGCCAGCATGGTGAGCGTTTCATGCTGAAATGTGTTTTTTCCACTTTGAGCTGCCTGATCAAATCCTTGGCTTGTTCTTATATTGGGTTGAGTGGCTTGTTGTCCTCATTATTTGTTTGGAGAAGCTCTTTACTGATAGTGGGAGCTAGAGTCCTTTGGCTCTAAGGAACTTACTCAAATACTCCTTTTCTGTTGAACAGGAAGTTTTCTTTTCTTGGTATTTAAGATTACTGTTTTATTCTTTAACTGCCTCCTAGATTTTGTTGCGTTTAATTATAATTTCATTCATTCATTCATTCGTTCATTCGTTTGTTTGTTTGTTTATTTGCTGTCTGGGTATAGGTTAGAGGGCATCTTGAGAGAATTGGTTTTCTCCTTACACTACTTGGGACGTAGGACTCAGACTAGGATTATGAGTTTGGCTGCAAGTGCTGTAAAGTGCTGAGCCATCTCAGGGGTCTGCCTTCAGCTCTGTTTTAAAACACATGGGGGACTGGGGACATAGGTCAGTGGCAGGCACATGCCTAGCATGTACAGGGCCCTGGGTTCAGTCTAGTCATGACATAAACCAAAACACACACACACACACCCAATTCTGAGACCATTGGGTTTTTTTTTTTGTTTGTTTGTTTTGTTTTTTTCCCTTTGTGTGTTTTTATTTTGGGGTCTGAGGCAGGATTCCCCATGTAGCTCAGGCTAGCTGCTATTTCGTGCCTCAGCCTCCCAAATGCTGGGTTACAGATGTTAGTCACCATGCTTTATGGTTTTTTTTTTTTTTTTTTTTTTTTTTCTTTAATTCTGTTGTTTTCTTTTAAGGTTTGGATACTTTGATTTGTTTGTGGTTGAATCTTTGTTCTGACTGAAATTTATTTGGAACAAAGAATAAGGTTGAAATTCAGTTTAGTTTTTCCCAGCGCACTACTGGCAGACTCTAAGTCATGTGTTTAATTATGTGCCCCCAGGGGACTTCCATCATACTCCAAACCATGTGTATAGTAACGTGCCCTTTGCCCCCGACATGCTGTTATCTCTATTGTGTAATAAGGGTGTAAGATGGTGAGTGTATGCCCTCTTTTTTCTGGATGCTGTGTGTGCGTGCGTGCGTGCGTGCGTGCGTGTGTGTGTGCGTGCGTGCGTGTGTGTGTGTGTCTGCGCGCGTGCACGCAATGCACACTGTGATAGTCCCTGTGTTTGAGCATCTGCTCTCTGCCTGCCTGATAGCCCCCCCTCCACACCTGTCTGTTGGCGGTAGTGCTGGGGGCAGTGTTGGCTATTCTAACGTGTAAGTTTTTGTCTCTGAGCAGCCTCCGTCATTCTTTTGGTGTTTGATTACATTAACTTTTTAGTTTTATTGCTGGAACTTGATAGTTTTATGAAGTTGAATTTTCCTTTCCAAGAAAGACCAAAGCGAGTAACTCTTTAATAAACAATGCCTTCCTAGAAAGCTAGGTGCAGCCTGAGCACAGTGAGTTCAGGGTTCTTGTCTCCTGCCCTCCGCTCCCCTCTGCTCTACCCTGATAGCAGGGCATTCACTTCAGGCTATGGACGGGCGGGCGGCTGCAGCCCCACACGCCCCATGCAGCCCCACGGTCTCTTTGATGGGCTTTCTTTTTACTCCTCTGACTTTGGAGTGTATTCTAGTGTCTCCTCCTAACAAGTTAGTAGCGTGACTAGTTTCAGGGAAGGGTGCCTGGCTGTTCTGGGTGCTTGCGTTCACCTTTTGGCTTGTTTTCAGAAAACCGCAGAGGAACAGCTTGCTGACCTTCAGAGGCTGCATGCAGAGGAGCTGGCCAGCAAAGAGCAGGAGCTGGCCAGGAGGCTTGAGAGCCGAGAAAGGGAGCTGCAAGAGCAGATGAAGATAGCTCTGGTAAGTGCTGCTCAGTCAGAGGTAACCGCAGAGCTGCCCTGCACGAGGGTGAAGTGGACGTTTCCAGCAGCCTCCACCTCAGTGTATGAGAGGACAGGACGCAAGCAAAAAGGGCTTGTTGGCCTAGTGTGTTTGAAATCAATTGTCTGAGGCGCCCAGATTTCATCAGTTGGTTTGTTTGCCTGCCCCTTTCCATCCTACTTAGGCAGTAATTAGAGGGGAGAAAGGAAAAGATGGTCAGTGTCTCAAAGCCCAGCGTACTGGCTGCATTGATTGGCTCCCAAAGGCGATTCTAAATTGAAGCTTAAGGGCAAAACTTTGAATTCATATGATGTTTGAAGAGCAAAAATAGCACAACCGAATGAACAAAATAATAGTCAGAAAAGCAAAGGTTCACATTTTTGCTGAAAATGTGATTTGAATATTTAAATAAAAAGTAATTTTCCTCAGTGGTGAAAAGCTTTCATTTGAGTCCCCATAAAAAAGTGTCAGTGCCAAAATGTAGTTTGTGTTGATATGAAATTTTTCAGAAAATAGCTGAAACTATCATCCACAAAGTAACGTGTGTGATTTTTAAGTGCGGGATTGGAGGCACTGTCTGGAGTGGTGGCCCTCCCTCCCTCCCTCCCTCCCTCCCTCTCTTCCTCTCTCCTTTCTCTCCCTGCCTGATTGTCCAAGTTTCTTGGCATTTCTAGCAGCATTGATTCTTGCTGAGAATAAATTTTCTAATCTCTGGAAGGGAAATAGACATTTGGATTTAATGTATACTTATGCAAGGCTAGGAAAATTGTGTGGTTGAAATTGCACCCACATGTTGTGGCGCACGCCTTTATTCCCAGCACTTGGGAGGCAGAGGCAGATGCAGGCGGTTCTCTGAGCTTGAGGCCAGCCTGGTCTACAGAGTGAGTTCTAGGACAGCTAGGGCTGTTACACAGAGAAACCCTGTCTCAAAAAAACGAAAACAAAACAAACCAAAAAACAAAAACCAACCAACTAACCAGACAAACAAACAAACAAACAAAAAAAAAACCCACAAGGAAAAGAAAAGAAAATTTTGCTCAAGAAAGAAATTAAGGGTAACATATAAGAATATTTAAGTTATATCTGGACAGCATAAAATAAAAATAGGGGCATGGAAATTAAAGAACACAAGTGGGACATGAATCTGGAATCTGTGCTGTAAGGGCCTGCTGTGGGCCTTGAACTCTGGCATCAATGCTATCTATCGTCTAGGAGGTGACACACTCAGCTCTCTTTCACTCACGTTGAAGAAGAAAGACACACAAACAGGCGCACACAACTCCTTAATTCAATAGGTTTTAACATTTCCTACTTAAACATACTGAAATTGAGGTTGTGGATAATTCTATCCTACTATTAGTCTATTTTGTAGTATGAAATCATTTTGTAAAAACCCGTGTGTCTCCATGGTATAGTGATGTGTAAATACTGTGAAACAATGCTCGCTCTTTAAGCAACAATATAGATAAGCACCCTTAAGTTGGAGTGCAATGAAGAAATTACAGTCAGGTGTGCTAATCTAATGATGAAAGTGCTCTTAGCCATTGCTAGGGATGCTCCTGTACTAAATGGAATCTTTTCAGAGCTGGCTACACTGGAAGGGCTCAGAGCCTGGATCCTGCATTGAGATGTTGTTGATTACCTCACAGGATTTGGTGCAGATCAAATAGAAAGCGTGGTCCCATTGAAGGGCTTTGGGAATGCTGAAGATTTATGTGGGATTAAGATGGTATTGTTTTTGGCACAGGAGAAGAATCAGTCAGAATATTTGAAGCTCACCCAAGAAAAAGAGCAGCAAGGATCATTGGCTCTAGAAGAGTTGGAGCTGCAGAAAAAAGCAATCCTTTCAGAGAGTGAAAATAAACTCCAGGAACTTGGGCGAGAAGCAGAGGCTTACCGAACTGTAAGTTCACGTGCTGTGTGGGCTCCAGAGCTGGGGATACATGTGTCTGTGGGGACTGTCCCCGGAGCTGGGGATGCGTGTGTCTGTCTCCAGTCAGTATGAAGCTCTGATTGGCTCGTGGGGTCGGGTTTACATACACACGCTCTTCATCTTGGGCCCCCATGTCTCTGGCGGGCCTCCATTCCGCCTTTAGCACACACAGCCTGCAGCTGTCTCCACTCTACGCTAACCCGCCTTCATCACTAGGAAATGGCCGCACTTCATCGGCAGCGGGTGTTCTCAAACCTTACTGCTTGTCTGGCTTCATCATGCAGTGTGTCCTAAATATAATCCTTACTCGTCTTTTGTCATAGTCTAGTTACACTGATGCCATACTTTGAGGTTTAAAATCACCCATTTTTTCCATGTTTACATGGTGCTGGAATGAAGTATCTGTATGTCTTCAGTGTGCGTAGTCCCTTTCCTTAGTAGTAGCGATGTGCTGCTGCAGTAAAACCTGCTGATAGAATGTAGGTCCTCCACTCTTGTCAAACAGTTGTCAGCCGTCTTTGCTTTTCCTTTACCCACACCTCAGGCGTGCAACTGGTGGGTGTGACGTCACGGAAGCACTTGCTTGATCAGCAGTGCATTGCACCTCACTTTCTTTGACAGCCACCGAGAGATTGGACTTGCCAGTCTCTTAGGACCTTCCCAGCTCTGATGTTCAGAGTGAATATTCTGTGAGATAACAGACACCTTTGGTAAATTATGTATAAGAAGCTTCTTAAACAAAACAAAATATGCCAGGCTAGTGAGATGGCTCAGGGCAAAGTGATTGCCACAGAGCCTGGCCATCTGAGTCTCATCCTAAACCCACAGTGGAGAGAGAGGACGAATTCCTGAAGATCTCTGAGACCTCTGGGCCCCTGTAGCTCCCCTCCCCCCAAGTAATAAAAGTTTTAAAACTGTTAAAGTACATGCCTTTGGGAGTAGAAAAATGAGATACTTTCCCTCTAAAGTTAAATTATAAAAGTAATAAAATATTAGTGTAACCTAAAAGCATGGAGTATGGAGGTCTAATCCTACCAAGCTCACTGCCATTATTATTTGTTTTGTGATTCATTTTCTCTTTTTTAACTTTCCCATTAGAATACTTTTGAAAATAGAGATAGTTGAAATGGTTACCCAAGTACATAGAACAAGCCCAGAACCGAGTTTGTTTATGATCCCATTAGTGACTGAGCAAGGTGTATTGCCTGCCCTTTCTTATGTTTTGTCTGGTATGTGAAGTGTCCAAATTGTAGCCTCTAGGTAGGTCCACATGATCTCTGCATCTCTGCTAACAAACAAGTATGTGCATTAATAAAAAACGCGCCTGTTTTCATTAACAGAGAATACTTGAATTGGAAACCTCTCTGGAAAAAAGCTTAGAAGAAAGCAAAACTCAGTCAGAGCATTTAGCTGTTCATTTGGAAGCTGAGAAGAATAAGCACAAGAAAGAGCTCACAGCCGTGACTGAGGCGCACCGGGCAGAACTGGGGCGCCTCCAGCAGCAGCAGGACGGCCTGTGGGCCGAGAGGCTCCAGGGCCTGGCTCAGCAGCACCAGGCTGCCGTGGAGGAGCTCAGAGAGAAGTACGAACAGGAAAAAGGCGCCCTACTAAAGGAGAAGGAGGGTCATCTCCAGGCCATGAATGAAAAGACCTTGCAGAAGCTGGATGTGAAGCAGGCAGAGCTGGAGTCCCTGTCCTCTGAGCTGGCGGAAGCGCTGAAAGCCCGTGAGCAGCTGGCCCAGGAGCTTTCTGTCCTGAGGGGTGATGCGGACAGAATGAAGCAGGCCCTCGAGGCCGAGCTGGAGGAGCAGAGGCGTCACCACCAGCGTGAGGTGGACAGCATCAGTAAGGAACAAGAAATAACTGTTCAGAGAACTGAGAAGGCCTTGAAAGATGAACTGAATCGGCTGGAGCTTCTCCTGAAGGAGAGAGACGATCACCTGAAAGAGCAGCAGGCTCGCATAGACGATCTTGAAGCTTATCTTCAAAAGTCTGCCGGGGAGCTGCAGCAGGCCTTGGCTAAGCTGGACCTCCTCCACAAACAGCAGAGCAGCACACAGGAGCAGACGGGCATGTATGAGGAGCAGCTGGCCCAAATGCGGCAGAAGGTGCTGGATCTGGAATCAGAGAAGAACCTTCTTGCCAAGCAGGTAGCTGACATGGAGACACAAAGAAAGCACACGTGTGTGGAATTAGACGCTCTGAGCGCACAGGTGCGGCAGCTTGAGGAACAGAAGCGTGAGCTGGAGGAGAAAGGGAGGTCCTTAGCCCAGCTGCACGAGTCACAGCTCAAGGACAGCCACGTGGAGAAGGAGCAAACAAAGCAAATTCTGATGGAAAAGGAAAATGTCATTTTACAGATGCGAGAAGAACAGGCCAAAGAGATCGAGGCCCTCAAACAGAAATTGTCTTCTAAAGAAGAAAGTATGAGCATTTTGCATGAGGAATATGAAACCAAATTTAAAAATCAGGAAAAAAGGATGGAAAAAATTAAGCAGAAAGCAAAAGAAATGCAAGAAACGAAGAAAAAGTTGTTGGATCAGGAAGCCAAACTTAAGAAAGAGCTTGAAAATACCGTCCTGGAGCTCAGTCAGAAAGAGAGACAGTTCAATGCCCAAATCCTGGAAATGGCACAGGCCAGCTCCGCTGGGATCAGTGACACAGTGTCAAGACTGGAGGCCAACCAAACGCAGCAGATAGAAAGCCTGACCAAAGCTCACCAGCGGGAGCTTGATGACGTCACAGAGTGCTGGGAAAAGAGGCTGAGCCAGCAAGCCGAAGAGCTTCGGGACAAGCACGAGAGGCGGATGGAGGAGAAGCAGCAGGAGCTGGCAGAGCTGAGGCAGAGGGTCCTCACACTGCAGTCTGACAAAGAGGAGGTGAACAAGGAAGCCATGCGGCTGAAGGAGGCAGTGGCTGAGCAGGGCACCGCGCTAGCCCGTCTGCAGGAGCAGTTAGAGCAGAAGTCCGCTCACATCAGCTCACTCTCTCAGAAGGAGACTCAGTTGAAATCCCAAGTTGAAACGCTGGAAGTCGATTTGGGTCGTTCTCTGAATGAGAAGGCTTCCCTTGAGGAGGAGCTGGCTGAGCTCAGAGTGCTGACCGAGAAGGAGACGCTCAGAGTTTCTGAGCTGACGGGCAAGGTGCAGGCTGCAGAGGAGGAGCTCCACAGCTGCAGGGCTCTTCAGGAAAGCAGTAGCAAGAGCCTAGAGGACAAAAGCTTGAACCTCAAAACCCTGCTTGGGGAACTCGCAGCTCAGCTAGACAGTCGCTGTGAGAAAACCAAAGCTTTGTTAGAAGCTAAAACAAATGAACTCCTCAGCGTCAGCGGTGACAAAACAGATGCCATTCTGTCTAGGCTTTCCCGCTGTCGGCAGCGCACCGCCACAGTTAGGGAGGCGCTGCTCATGAAAACGCGCCACGTTTCTGACTTAGAAGCACAACTCAGAAAGCTCACAGAAGAGCAACACACACTAAAGAGCTCTGTTCAACAGGTCACCCATCAGCTGGAAGAAAAAGAAAGTCAGATTAAGGCCATGAAGGCCGATATCGAGGGTCTCGTCACAGAAAAGGAAGCCTTACAGAAGGAAGGCGGCCAGCAGCAGCAGGCGGCCTCGGAGAAGGAGTCCTGCATTACACAGCTGAAGAAAGAGTTATCGGAGAACATCAATGCCCTTACACTACTGAGAGGGGAGCTCTCCGAGAAGACGGCAGAGACGGACAGCCTTCGCACACAGCTCAGTGACCTCAACGCTCAACTGGGGAACAGCGTCAGCCTAAGTGACAAAGCAGCGGCCATTTCGTCCCTGAACAAGCAGCACGAGGACCGGCAGATGGAGCTGCAAGCTCAGCTGCAAGAGCTGTCTTTGAAAGTCGATACTCTGAGTAAGGAGAAAATGTCTGCTCTTGAGCAGGCAGATCATTGGTCCAACAAGTTCTCAGAGTGGAAGAGAAAAGCCCAGCCCAAATTCGCACAGTACCAGAGCACCATTAAAGACCTGCACACACAGCTTGACGTAAAAGCCAAGGAAGCCGCTGAAAAGGACGAGCAGATACAGCTGCTGAGGGAAGACCTTGGTCAGCAGAATAAACGGTTCGAGTGTTTGAAGGGCGAGATGGAGGACAGGAAGGGCGAGATGGAGAAGAAAGAGTGTGACTTAGAGGCCGAGTTAAAGACGCAGACGGCAAGGGTTGCTGAGTTAGAGGACTGTATCGTTCACAGGAGAGAAGAAATTGAGTCCCTAAATGAAACACTTAAGAGTTACAGCCAACAGAAGGACACTGAGCGGAATGAACTGGTTCAGAAACTTCAGCACTTGGAAGAGCTGGCAGAGGAGAAAGACAACAAGGTTAGGGAGGCCGAGGAAAAGGTCCTGAGCCTAGAACAGCAAGTGTCCTCCCTGGAAGCCGAACTTGGAAACCTGAAGAAAGAACTAGAACATGTGAATTCGAGTGTGAAAAGCAGAGACGGGGAGTTAAAAGCTTTAGAAGAGAAGCTTGAGCTGGAAAGCACTTCGAAAGTGGAGCTGAAGAGGAAGGCGGAGCAGAAGATCGCTGCCATCAGGAAGCAGTTGCTGTCTCAGATGGAAGAGAAGCGGCGGGAGGCCGAGAGCCAGCTGAGCGAGCTGAATGCGAAACTGCAAGGCAGAGAAGAGCAAGTTCACACCCTGGAAGAACAACTTAAAAACCTACAAACTTCCCTCCAGTCGGAGATGCCAGTTGTGTCCACGTCCATACAAAACGCAGCAGCATCTCCTGAACAAGGAGCAGCCGATTCCCAAGGCTGTACGCGCAAGGCATGTGAAGAGAGGATCTGCACACTACAGAGAAGATTAGTTGAAAGAGAAAGGCTGCTGCACAGTCTGGAGCAGAGGATGGGTGAGTCAAAGTTATCTCCGACCGAAGTGCAGCTCGCCACGAAGTTAGACGACATCCAAGCCAAACCGCTCAATGATGAGAGTTTGATAGGACGTCTTCAAGAAGAACTCACAGAAAAGAAGGCGAACTGTTCCTTCATTGTGCCCCAGCCCATGGGGGAAGAAGCCGGTAAAAATAATACAGGGATGAAGCAAAACTTGGCCAGTGTGGTTGACAGTGTCCAGAAAACCCTCCAGGAAAGGGAGCTGGCCTGCCAGACCCTGGAGCGGAAGGTTAAAGAGCTGGAGTCTGACTTAGTAAGAGAGAGGGACTCACACAGACTGGAAATGGAAAAGCTGACCCTGAAATACGAGAAGTCGCAAGCCTCACAGCAAGAAATGGGTGGGAAAAATCAATCTGTGGAAATTTTGGAAGATAGTTCTGAGGAAAATTCCAAGTCACAGGTGATCCAGCCGAAATTGGGGAATAACATGGACACCCAGCATCATGATAATGACCTGGAGTTAAAGTTAGCAGGGGCGGAGCGGGAGAAGCAGAAGCTGAGCAGGGAGGTGGCAAGGCTGCAGAAAGATCTTCGGGTGCTGAGAAAGGAACACCAGCAGGAGCTGGACATCCTGAAGAAAGAGTGCGCGCTGGAAGCAGACATGAAGCTCAAGTGAGTGCTGTTCCTACCCGGTGGATGTGTGCGCGTGCGTTCACGCGTGTGCGTGCGCGTCTGTGTGTGTGTGCGCGTGTGTGTGTGTTACACACGCACGCGCAGTGTGTCATGCAGATACTTGCACCTGCCCAAAGCGTTACATAAATCCATTAAGTTAAATGCTGGGGGGAAATGAATTCGGGGCAGAAGGCAGTGAGTGTTATTCCGTGTTCGTTAAGAGGACACACCTTTTCTTGCAGGCGAGTAATGGCCTCACTGTTGCATGACAGTAACATGCGTGTGTAGGGGAGAAGTTTAAAGTGGGAAAGAGCCGTAACCCCGGCCCCACAGTTAGTCACTGAAGGTATTCAGAGTTTCTATCTCTAGTTTTCTCTACCTGGACCCACAGACGCACTCACAATTGCCTCCATAACAGTGAGAGCACATTGTGCAAGCTGTTTTTGAAACAGCTTTGTAACAATGTGCTGTTTAGAGGTAGCTGTCATCATCATCGCTGTCCACTCTTGTTACTCAGACAGGAGCAAGAGGACCTGGAGTTGAAGCACACGTCCATCCTGAAGCAGCTGATGAGGGAGTTTAACACCCAGCTGGCTCAGAAAGAGCAGGAACTAGAAAGGACCATCCAGGAGACCATCCGTGAGTACAGTCTTGAACCCAGCAGCGACTACCCTCGGCAGAGTCCACTGCTGCTGGATTTTTCTTGTCCTGCCAGGTCCTTCCGGCCCTCTCAGCCCCAAAGTGTTCATGGATGCTATATTAATTACAAAGCTATTGGCCGATGACTAGGGTTTCTTTTTTGTTATCTCTGTCTTTATTATTAACCCATTTCTATAAATCTGTGTATTTCCATGTGGTCTTGACTTACTGGAGAATGCCCAGATCTGCTACTCCTTTTCGGCTACATGGAGTCTGTTTGAAGTCTCCTCGTCTCCTAGTCCCGCCTATCTTCCTGCCTCTATTGACCAAATAATGTTTTATTCATGAACCAATAAGAGAAACATATATACAGAAGGACATCCCCTATTGGTCCACAGTCTATTCTCTTTTTGCCCTTGTGGTAGGTGTACCTACCACATTAACTAGGGGGAAAATGGAAAATGGTCTTTGTCCGAGACAGTGCTCTTCCAAGTCCTCTAGAAAGTTCTCAAACCTGCTTCACACCTCAGCATGCCCGTTCTTCTGGATTTCATGAACATTGATTTGAAATGAGAATTCCTACTGCTGTTGGCATATAGATAGTCACGCATGTTTGCTTATGCGTGTCCCTTGTCCTGCACTAGATAAGGCCCAGGAGGTGGAAGCTGAGCTTCTGGAGAGCCACCAAGAAGAGACGCAGCAGCTGCATAGAAAGATCGCGGAGAAAGACGATGACCTGAACAGGACAGCCAGGAGATATGAGGAGATCCTTGATGTAATTATCCCTATTCTCTTTTGGAACAGTTTGTGTTTTATGGGGGAGCTGATTGTTTTCAGATGTAGAGACATTTTCCCTTTGACAGAAACTAGACTAACGTGAGGCTTTGAGATGTGGCTGAGTGCTGGGAACTGGATCCAGTGCACCGTCGGAGGCTTAGCTGGGGTCTTCTCAGGATAGCCAGCCAAGCCATGCCGTCTCCACTCACTTTCAGGGTTTTGATGGCCCAGGGTGGGGGTGCGTTGGGAATAAAACGGAATTTCTCAGCTTGCTCTAATGACATTGCATTAGCAGAATAAAATAAGCCATAAATGCTAATAAGAACTTAGGACCCCAAGAATGTTTTCAGATACAAAACGCTATGAGTTACTCTCTTTTTGCTTATTATCCTCTGTAAGGCTACTCCAAGCCTTACTCTATCATGCGCCAAGAATTTTCATTCCGGAAGAGCTGTCACCTTCAGCTGACAGTGTCAGCAGCGCCTGTGTGACCCAGAGCAGATTGTAACAATCACTGTTTTAAATGTAATTTAATTGAGTAAAATTATGGAATATGAAATGTCAACTTTGTGCACTTTGTAAGCTTTAAATCTCATTAGGAAAATATAAAAATATTTACAGATTTTCTTGTACTTTCAAAGTACATTTATGCTAAGTTTTTAAGAATACCGCCAGGGGGCTGGAGAGATGGATCAGTAGTTAAGAGCTTTTACTGCTCTCGCAGAGGATTCACGTTCTGCTCCCAGTACCTACCTGGTGGTTCACAGCTAACTGTAACTTCAGTTCCAGAGGGTCCATGCCGCCCTCTCTCCTCTGTGGGCACTGCACGGTCACGGTATACATAGATTCATGGGCACTTGCATGCACACAATATAGCTAATTTCACGTAGGTACATGCACATGAATAATAAACGCATTTTTAAAAGTTCTATTGAGGTGTTAGTGGTAGATGCCTGTAATCCTAGCATTTGAGAAGCTGAGTTAGGATCAGGAGTTCAAGGCCAGCCTGGGCTATATGAGGCCTTGTTCCAAAACAAACAAACAAACAAAAAAACAAATGCAGTCACTTCTTGACTCCTAATTGAATGTTTGACCACATGCAGTATACCTAATATATCCAAGGTACCTAGTTTAGTTTTACCATCTGGTATTTGTTACTGTGCTTTTGCTTTTTGTTTTTTGTTTTTTTAATACAGAAGGGAAGGCAACCTTAGTGTAGTTAAGTGTTTGCATAATATATTGAGTTCTGGAGTAGAGATTCATTATTACCTTCACCTATTTCATAAATAATGATGTCTTTCCAAGGAAGGAACTTTAAGAAGGTAACAGCTATTTATTGTGATTAATCATGCCTGGAAGTTTCAGGGAAGGGATGAGCTCTTGTTTGTGATTCCTTTTCTGTATGTGAATGATGGGTCATTAGTGTTGAACTTTATTTTTGGGACCACCAGCCCCCTCCCCCCCAAATAGTGACACGGAGACTAATTAAGAAACTTTGGCCTTTAGCTGAGGCTTGTTCACAACCAGCTCGTGTAACTTAACCTGTTTCTATTCATCTATGCTCTGCCATGTGGTTCTTTGCCCCTCCTCCATTCTGTATGCCCAGAAGTCCTACCTAACTTCTTCTGCCTTCCTATTGGCTGTTCAGCTTTCTACTACACCAATTACAGTGACACATCTTCACACATGTGTGAACAAATATTCTACAACAGGTCATCAGAGAGTAGACTGTTCACCGTCACGGACCTCTATAGGTCCAGGGCTGCGGGCCAGGAAGACAGTAGCCGCAGTGCTCTGGCAGCTGTCTGAAGGGAACTGGGGGAACAGACTCCACGCTGCAGCTTAGAGAGGGCGCCTTATTTCAATAGTGTGTGTCAACTGGCTCAACCCTTGTGAGTTCTCCCATGTGAAGTCAGCATGACAGGCCTACTCCATGGTCTGGGGATTGGGGAAAAGCTGTGTCTTTGTCCTCCCCCCTTTCCTCTCTGAAAAGTTCTGTCACATGACGTACTGTGCTGCACTTCCTCAATTGTAATAGTTCTTGGAGTGTTAATAACAAATTCAAGCACAAAGGATTCCACTTTCCCCTCCCTATCTTAGGTAGCATTTCTTTTTGTTGTTGTTTTGATTTGGTTTGGGTTTTTGAGAGAGGGTCAGGCTGGCCTTGAACTTACTGTGTAACTGAAAATGGCTTTGAACTTTTGATCACCCACAGTTCTGCCTTCCGAATGCCAGGATCGCTGGCTGTCCTTTATGATAAAGTTCTTACCTTCCACATCTGAAGAACCGAGATACTTGTTCCCGAATCACACAGGTCCCTAAGCCCCGCACACAAGTATATCTTTGTAGGTGGGGATCTGCTTATATCCCTAGCCTCCAAATGGCGTGAATCTTTGTTACTGCCTCTGTTACGCATGTGCGCGAGTGTGGTGGTTCGAATGAGGATGGTCCCCACAGGCTCCTGTATTTGAGTGTCTACTCCCCGGTGGGTGCTAGGTCAGTAGGGTTAGGAGGTGGTTTTGTTGGAGAAGGTGGGTGGGTCACTGGAAGCGGGCTGTGAGGGTTCACAAGCTCATGCAGGCGTAGTCGGTGCCTGAGATCAGGTTGTGGCTGTCAGTGCTGTTTGAGTGCCATATGTGTTGCCATACTTCCGCCATGATAATGGACTGACCCTCAGACCGTAAGCAAAGTCCCAGTTAAATGCTTTTAAGAGTTGCTGTGGTCATGGTGACTCTTCACAGCAATAGAACAAGCGACCAAGACAGCGGGGATGCCATTGTCAGGGGTTGCCCTCCATCTTGCTTCCTGTGGTGTGGTCACTCCGTGACCCTGGAGTTGCAGTGGTGGCTTGACCCCCAGGGTCTTCGCATTCGCAATGTCGGTATAGACTTGGCAAACCTGGCTTTTGCATGGGAGTCTGAGCCTGAGTCCTCAGGGTTGTGTAGCAAGGTTTACTCGACCACTCTGTGCTGCATCTTTAAAGGGTTTTTAAAGTTAATTTTTATTTAGATGACCCTGAATCAAACGCATTCACATGCATATTTGAGAACGGTGTGGACTTTCATTCTCGTTTGTTGCTTTTAAAGGACAGAATCAAGAAAGTTAGACTCCCCACTCCTCCCTCTCTCCCTTTTCCCTTTTCTGATGGGGTAGGGATTTACACGGGACCTGGCACCTTGTTGTCAGCCCCCTACCACTGAGTTGTCCCCCAGATCCAGAACTATTTTTTGTTAGAGATGATTCGTTAGAGACCCCTCTAACTCTTAGACGGCTTCCTTGCCTTAGCTCTGGTGTAGTTTGCAGCTGTCGAAGGATGTTTCGACATAGCTGAATGTCATTGTGCCTGAGGGAGTAGCTGTGGGACCTCTGCCACACTGGCATAGGGCGTGCACAGGGGTAGGCTCAAGACAGCCACGACCAAGGACAGCAATAGCCCAGTTCCAGGTTGATGGTGTTGAGGTGGGGCTGGGTCAGTGTATGCCTCTGTGAGGAGACAGCTGAGCACTGGCCAACAGGCTTGTGCTGGTTGGTTTCCCGTTAGCCTTCCTCATGAGAAGTGGTATTTAAAATCAGACCAGCTGTGTGTCATTGAGAATGGTGTCTCTCATGTTTCTGGCAGTCAGTGACTGTTAAATGACCCTGTTGATGGCTGTTTTCCTGTTATGTCTCTCTCAGCACACACACACACACTTACCTTCTTTACTCAAGTCAGATTGATATTCTAGCTGTAAATGTTCTTCAGCGCAAAGCTCTTGCAAGATTTATGACTTGGGAGTGTCCCCAGAACAGAACAGAAAATGACTTGTATGTCAAAATTTCTGAATAGGACTATGGGGACAAAAATCACCTAAAAGTTTTTAGGGTTTTTTTTTTCTAGTTGAGCCTTGTCTATTTGTTTGTTTGTTTGTTTTTGCAATATTTTGGGAAAATGAAGAAGATTGCACTGGTCATCAACATGTTAGACAGACTAACTGTATTATGTTGACTTCCAACGCCATGTGGAGATGGGTAAAATGTAGACAAGGTTCAATGATGAACCCCTGAGTTACACAGCCCCTACGTAGTTAGTGAAGAAAATTAAACCAAAGCATTGCACAGCTTCTTGTGATGAGTGGGTTGCCAGCTGTGTGTGAAAATACTACTTTATTCCCTGAGTATCTGTAGGCGCCCACTGTAGAAAGTGCCCAAACCTTACCTCACAGGACCTGTGATACAGCACAGGACCTGTGACACGGCTAGACCCTCATGCTTACGACCCGGTCAGCCCAGGGTGAGAGGAGGGCAGCAGGTTGACCTTGGTGACGGATGAAGGACGAGTAACAGGGCGTCATGGTATCCTAGGAAGAGTGAGCAGCCTGAAGCGGAACTGACTTGGGTCAGAAAGGTGGCTAGGAAAGCAGAGGGATGAATGGAGAGCAGAGGGATGAATGGACAGCAGAGGGATGAATGGAGAGCAGAGGGATGGGTGGAGAGCAGAGGGATGAATGGAGAGCAGAGGGATGGGTGGAGAGCAGAGGGATGAATGGAGAGCAGAGGGATGAATGGAGAGCAGAGGGATGGGTGGAGAGCAGAGGGATGGGTGGAGAGCAGAGGGATGGGTGGAGAGCAGAGGGATGGGTGGAGAGCAGAGGGATGGGTGGAGAGCAGAGGGATGAATGGAGAGCAGAGGGATGAATAGGAGAGCAGAGGGATGAATGGAGAGCAGAGGGATGAATGGAGAGCAGAGGGATGAGTGGAGAGCAGAGGGATGAATGGAGAGCAGAGGGATGGGTGGAGAGCAGAGGGATGGGTGGAGAGCAGAGGGATGAATGGAGAGCAGAGGGATGGGTGGACAGCAGAGGGATGGGTGGACAGCAGAGGGATGGGTGGACAGCAGAGGGATGAGAAAGACAGCTGTGTGTGTCTCAGACTGTTGCGTGCTCTACGCTTTTCCCTCTCTGCATGGTTTCAGTGTTAATACCACATTGCTATTTCCATCCTGAAGGCCCGTGAAGAGGAAATGACTTCAAAAGTAAATGGCCTGCAGACTCAGCTTGAGGAGCTACAGAAGAAGTATGAGCACAGGCTAGACCAGGAGAAGAGCATGCCGGACAATGTGAGAGCACTTTGAGTTTCTTCTTATGGTTCTTGGAAACACCGCCATTGCCCCGGTTTGGCTCACCCATTGACATAAGATTCATCTCATTTAATCCAGAGGGACCCTTTTAGGACCCATGCTTTCCTCCTTCAGTTAGTACAGCCAACACCCCAAGAGCTCAACACAGTGTTCACAGCTCATGTTAAGTGTCGTCGTGGAGTTTAAACCGGGCTCCCGCACTCAAAGCCTAGACTTGCTGTTGGCGGTGCTCCCTGGACTTCCACAGACAATATAGCAGAGCAGACTGAGCCCACACCCTGGGAACGCCAGAGACTGTCCACAGCAAGTGGGACTTACTGAGAAGTTTTTCTTTAATTTTTTATTCTTTGACAATTACATACTTGCATATAACACGTTTTTGTCGCAATCCGCCCTCCTGGTCCTCTGAGCCCTTCCTGTTCCCACAGGCCTCCCTTTTCTTCCTAACAAGTGCCCCTTCCACTTCATGTCCTTTTGGTTTGTTTTGTGCCCTGATTTTACCCTGGGCCACCCGCATGGGTGTGGGTGTGAAGCTGCCCATCGAAGCGTGAGTTACACCATTGATGACGATGAGTGACTCCCCGCCCCCAGCATTTGGACATATGTAATCTGTATTCTGCTTTATAATGTATCCTTAGTTGTATGGCACGAATATGGTGGCTTTTCAGTCGTTCTGTGCTGGTTCATCTTTGCATGGCTACTGGACCAGATGCCGATGCTGATGCAGATGCTGATGTCGGTGCAGATGCCGTGAGATGCCTGACATGACAGAGCTGGCACTGCATCTTTGGCAATTTTTAAGTAACCCCAGTCTTTAATTAAAGTTAATGCTAGGGAAGACAGGCCATGTATGCCCCTTGGCTGCTGGTCCTGCTGTAGATCCACAAAGCATGCAGGTCCCAGTTTGAGAAGCCCGATGCTGGAGCATTTCTTTCTGATGGTTATCCCTGCTCTAGGATGGTCTTTTTCACAGCAGTGTCAGGAGGTTCTCGGGAAGATGGACAGATGCCGTCTGTGATTCCACCCGAGAAGACCTAGTACAGTGTGTCAGTCACGGACAAGAGCAGTCACATGGGTCTCTTTCCCCTTTATAAAAGGCTTTGCTGAGCATCGAATCACACCTAATCAGATACATCTGTACGAGCTCTGAGCAGGCAGAAAGGTCCCTTCCTTTCAGGAGAGCCATTAATGCCGTTCTGTCTGTCTGTTAGCCTGTCTACAATGGGGTTGTTGCTGCCGCCATTCTTGCTGTTAAATATGACTTCTATGAAAACACATGCATTTTACTAACAAGAGCTTCCCCTATCATCAGAGTATTAATGTTGCATCCTGACTATCATAGCGTGTTGATGCATTGTGAAACTGATATCAATGCTGAGTTCTTTACCTTGTTGCAAAAGGAAGGAGTAAATAATAACTGAACACATTTGTTCCTTTGTGGTCTCCTGATTCTCCTTGAGCATGCTTCTAAGTATTTAGATTTTGTTTTTTACTTGCGATGGTAGTCCTGGCGTGTTTCCCAGGTTGGTCTGAATCTTCTGATCAAACGGTCCTCCCATCTCAGCTTCCCAAACAGTGGCAGTCTAGACGGTCCTCAGTCACAGGTACCTGTGCTGAGAGCTCCATGAGAAACTATTTGTAATCAGAGCCCAGCATGAGCCTTGGGGGTTGTACTTAGAAATGTCCTAAGGGACGTTGAGAGAGCTGACCTTTTACTCATAGTTACTGGAGTGGTGCACACATCCCCTTGTGTTCAGTATCCCTGAAGGATAAAGCCTCCAGTGTGTGTTGTGGCATCTGTGTCCCCTGCTGCAGAGCCCACAGAGCCTTTCAGCCCTCCTTTGTCTGTGGACATTTTATGTAACAAAAATGGACCAGTTCAAAACAAAGATTTGAACTTGCTTTGTTTCAAACCTGCTCGCCCTCTGAAGACGGGAAAGCTGGCTTCATGCTTGCTTGTCATTTCATAGCGCTGTATTGTTTCCCCTGCTTGTTGGTTTTATTGTTGACGTTTTTGTTTTTGTTTTTCTTTTCCATCTCCAGGAAACAATTATGGAGCTACAGGTAAGATTAGTTCTTCACTGACGTTTCCTGAAGCTAGTCCATTTTAGGAACATGCTCTCCCCAACCCCTTTTTTAACAATTAAAACATAAAGCTACTGTTTCTCCAAAGAAAGTTTTTTGTAGGCAGGGTAGAAACATGCCCGGGGGCTGATGAAACACACTAATCTCAGTCTGGCTCTTGTTCTTTCAGACACAGCTAGCCCAGAAGACCACTCTGATCAGTGATTCCAAGTTGAAGGAGCAGGAGTTGAGAGAGCAGGTACTGGCAAGTGCAGCCTCTGTTGATTTGTACTTGGATTTGGCCAATAAGGAAACAATTGAGTTAATTAATTTGCTTTGAATTTCTTTCAGTCTTTTTTTTTTTTTTTTTTTTTTTTTTTTTTTCTTTTGAGACAGAGTTTCTCTATATAGCCCTGGCTGTCCTGGAACTCACTTTGTAGACCAGGCTGGCCTCAAACTCACAGAGATTCTCCCGAGTGGGTGTTGGGACTAAAGGTGTTAGCCACTATCACCCAGCAAAATTCTTTCAGTCTTAAACAGGAAATTTTATTTCTAAGTCCACAAGTTCTTTGAGGCAGTGTTTACATTTACAATTGCATGCATTTAAACTAGAACATTTGTTGGTTTTTTAAAGGTTTATTTTATTTTATGTATGCATATATCTGTGTATGAGATGCATGCCTGTTGGCATGGATCCCCTGAAGCAAGTTATATTTGTGAGCTGCTATGTGGGCACTGGGAATTGAACCTGGGTCCTCTAGAGGAGCAGCCAGTGCTCACAATCACTGAACCATTTCTCCAGCCCCATACTAGAACATGTTATCCTGTTCTTTCTAGTGTAACATTTTGAATGTTTTGTTCATATCATTATAATAATTTATGTAAAAAGGAGTTATTTTTCTTGTTTGTCAAAGTAAAAATACGAAAGTCACTAGTGTTTTTTCCCCAATAGTAGAATTACTGTCATATGATTTATACACATAGTACCCAGGGTCAGTGTCTGTCATTCAGGGTCAGTGCTTTCCAGGGACAGTGTAAGCACGTGCCAGGTGTGTTTATGTGCAGGGCGTGATGCTTTTTTAAGTTCATAAAGACAGTCATCGAGTTAAAGTGTTGCTTTATTTCCCTTTCCTAGTAGTGACTCTCCCCGTTTATGTTCGCAAGCTCGCCGCTTTAGCGTTCCCTGATTATGTGTCTTTAAACCTAAACCTTCAAAACTGGCATAGCGTATTGAGTTTTGTTCTGGCTTATTATGTGTTCTGGATACATATTCCTTATCAGATATGTGGTTTGCAAATATTTTCTCCCATTTTGTAATTTGCCTTTTCACATTTTTGATGTAATCTGTTAATGCAAGCGGGTTTTTTATCTTAATAAAATTCAATTCATGTATTTTTCTTTCATTGAATATTCTTTTAGTTTCTGCCAAAGAAACTATTTTTTATCTGCATATACTGTTTGTTCCTTTGGCATTAAAAAGACTCCGGAAGCTATTCTTTTACAGCTCTTCTTTTCCTTACATGTGATTTTCATATTAATTTTATGGTATGGTTTGAATGTTATCTTTAGGTCCATAATTTAGAAGACCGTTTGAAAAGATATGAAAAGACCGTGTGTGGGACAAGTGTGGGGACACCTTACAAAGGTGAGCCGACTCCTTCCACGCCACCTGAGTACATCTTTTACTGGCAGATTTATGAATGCGTTTACTTTTTTGTTGTTGTTAATTCATATTCTTTTATTTTTATTTTGAATCATTTTTAGTAGTTGACAAGTATAAATTATATATACTCACTGCAACATGTTGCTTTTAAATATATATTTGTGGTGGGACACACATGTTGAGCTCATTGGTACATATTACCTCACATGCTTAACCTTTTGTTGTGTTGTGTCTTCGTTATTGTAATGCTATGCAGAGTCAGCATGACAGAGGCAGCTTATTAAGTGAGTGCTTGATGGAGTTGAAGACAGATAGTTATGGTTATAGTTTTCCTTAGTTAGGACTAAAGATAAGTTATTTATAAGACTTTAGAATCACAAAGATAAGATAGGTGGTGGAATATTTCCTTTAATTCTTGATAATGTTAATGGATATAATATTAACTATAGTTCTTATTTGATAACTGTTTTGTTATATATTTATTATGTTATAGTTAAAACCCTTTTTATATAGATAGAAAAGAGGAGATGATGGGAGATGTCATTCTGTATATGTGTTTCTCTTATTGGTTAATGAATAAAGCACTGTTGGCCAATAGAAAAGCAAGATAGGCTGGACTAGGAGACAAGGAGGATTCTGGGAGATATAGTAGGAGAGTCAGCATGTAGAGACTTGAGAGAGAAGAGGTCCGGGCCCTCTCTCTGGTAAGAAGACCACGTGGAAACACTTAGATTAATAGAAACGGGTTAATATTTAAGACAGAGCTAGCCAATAAGAAATGCTAGTAACAGGCCAACAGCTTTATATCTAATACAGTGTCTCAGTGTGTTATATATCTAATACTGTGTCTCTGTGTGTTATATATCTAATATAGTGTCTCTATGTGTTATTTGGGGCTGATGCGGCTCTGGAACCAGGCTGGTGGGACAATTGCTCGTAACACATGTGTGCACTTCTCTAGTAATATAACCAGCACAGTCATGATGCCCAACCCTTCTGACACTGTTATTCGTTCTTCTGCCTCATATTTAACATCTCTGTCTAAAGTTTCCAGCAACATTTTGTCCAGGTTTTCCCAGTTAGGGAATTTACATGATCTGTTTCTTTTATTTACTGTAAGTCTGAGAGTCGCCTAGGTTGTATGCTTTATTCCATTAGTTTGGCACATACTTGCACATGTTTCCTATAATCTAATGTGAAAGATTTTCTGTAGACTATAGAGCTAAGAATATTGGGCACCACTGTGGTCTCTCTACTGCTAATATGTGCCGTGGTCCTTCCATGCTTGGCTGATCTGCATTTGATATAATGTTGTCAGGGTTTTAATTTTGTTCCTGTTCTTAGTAGTTGTAGTAGTAGTAGTTATTTGTTCTTTCTTAGTTCTAGCTGTGTATATATATTTCTTCCTTTGTGGAGTGCCTTATATTCCCATGTCTTCTAAAGTTAGGATGTCGTTTTCTTTTTCATGAGCTCATAAACTTATGAGCTCGGGACATTTCCATGTATGTATATAATATGCATTTATCATGCCTTTATGCATAAATATACGTTTACCCACTGCCCTCATTACTCTTTGTTACCTCACTTTCTGTTTGTAGTGGGATTTCAGGCTTGTGCCACTGTACACAGTTCACATGAAAATGTTGAAAAGCGCTGTGACACTGATACTTTGCACACGTTTAGATTTTTATTTATCTTGTGTTTCAAAACATTTTTAAAATTTGATTTTAACTGAGTACTTTAATATTGGAATGCTTAAAAAGAAACTAAAAATGTCTGAGGTCCTAAGTCATGGATAAAAAGAAGGTGGTAATGTAGTCACCGGAATATCTGAAGTCATCCCCATGCTGTTTAGCAGAGATCTCGTTGTTAAGGAGCTTTTCCACTGGCCGTGTGATCTTGTAAGAGAAGGGTACAGGAAATAAACATTGTAGATGACAGTTCTGATTTCGCATCCGCAGGCAGCTGGGCTGTTCACAGTGTGACTATGTGGCCAACGCAGGGCAGCGAGAGGAAACAGTGTGCCTCTCTGCTCCCTTCCTCGTGCGCTAAGGCGTCTGTTTTCTGAACGACAAGCTATCTGGGCTTGCTTTTGTAATATTTATTTTTGTCTTTCTTGACAGGTGGCAATTTGTACCACACCGATGTCTCACTCTTTGGAGAACCTACTGAGTTTGAATATTTGCGAAAAGTTCTGTTTGAATATATGATGGGTCGTGAGACCAAGGTATGGTTCCTCCCTGGTGAGTTAGCGTGTCCTTTTCACAGACACATTAAATTGTCACGTAGGCAGTATTCTCATGACGAACCGACTGGCAGTCTTGTTCTGTTTATTAGATATCAACTTTAAAAATGGTTCTGATGTTACTAAATACTACTACAATGAAAATTTCACAAACAATAAGTTGTTTTTAAAAAAGTGAAGCATGTGGCTATTTCTGTTTTGTTTTTGTTGGTGTGTGTGTGTGTTCAGATCACAAAAGTAGAAGCTGTTAGTGTTCAGGCATCCATACTGGCCTGTCCTTGGGGTTCTGACAGGACACGCCCTCAGCTGCAGCCACTAAGAGCATCACCTGTGCACATTCACTGTGTTCCCCTTTAAAAGGGCCACCTCCCATCTTTTCTGTCTGTCTCTCTGTCCGTCTGTCCCTCCTTCTTTCTTCTGTTGCTCCTGTCCCCAGAGACAGGTCTCCGCCCTCCCTTCCCTCTTTTTCCCATTCCCTTTCCCCTGTGTGGCTATGTGCTGAGTCACGGAGATGCTAGGCAGTTCAGACAGTGATAGAGGGCATAGATAAGGACCTTAAACAGGGTTACAGCGAACACCAGTGAACGGCCGCTTCCCCTTACTGCACTCATACGGAGCTAAAGCAGCAGCTTGAACGCAGCAGCTTGGGAGATGGCTCACATTACCCTTGTGCAGTAGGAAGGAGGCTGAGCTTTGAGACTCCCATCAGTAGACACCTGGGACTGTTCTGTTGGGGTGCAAGTGGTGTGCCTAACCGACTGTGGCCTTCCTGAGTCTAATGCTAGCTGCCGCCGCCCATTGCTCCTGGGGAGTGTAGCGCTTGTGGAATGTTGTTTCCCAGTTTAAACCTTTGGGAAAGACACAGCCCAAGGCAAATGTGATCTTGTGCTCCCTGAGCCTGTGGTTCACTTCGGGTTACAATTTGGAAGGCAGCGAGTACTGCTCCAGCACTGTCAGAGGGTTTTGTCTGCGTTTGTTGTGGTTTTCTGACTAAGGATGAACGGCCTATAATTCTTCAGCACATTTTACATGGACACGTTGAAGCTGGTGGTAGGTTTTAATCTACTGTTTGTTTATACACGGTCATGGGAGCTGACACCATTCCTGACTCTAGAATTGAGCAGTTCAATTCTGTTAACCACACTGTGAGTGGAATGCAGCTAAGGACTGTTAGCGCTTCCCCTGAGGAGCTTCAGGAGTGCCAGGCTTTAAACAGGGAGAGGGTAGGGTAAGGTCAGGGAGCTCAACATTCATCCAGGATGGGCAGCAGCTCAGAGAAGGCCCAAGGCAATGACCAGTGAGGTCCATGAGCTGCAAGTGGTCTGTTTGGTCCAGCAGCATTGATTGTGTGAGGTGCAAGTGTTCCCAGGATTGGACAGTCTTATGTCTGCGTATCAGAGAGGGGATGGCCCCAAACATTGCCAACAAGAATAAAGCTGGTTTTGGATACATCTTTTGCTGATTTGTTTAACTTACATAGTAACAAAGAACTCAAAAGTGGAGAGCAGGTTATGTTGAGAATGAGCCAGCCTGTGGAAGACAAACGGTGTGTGTCATCGCATCCTGGCGTTTCCGTGTGTCACCCTACCTGTTCCTCCCCCCTGATTTGCCTTAGCATCCTTTATGAGGCGGGTGCCTGAAGAACACCCGTACAGTACACAGTCTTGTGGAATGGAGCTCCTCAGCCTGCTTTCTCCTCGTGGGCTTTGGTCCTCCATTCTGTTGTGGATACTGACATCCAGTCTGCCTTCCTGTTTGCTCTGTGAGCTTCATTGAAGAGCATCCCCGGAGGAAACAGTAGCTGAAGAGCTAGCTTATAAATCAGCTGGCTCATTTGAACTTCTCCTTACTTCTTGGGGCCTGAAGATGTGGTTTGGAGAACAGACAGTCTGATTTCTTTCCAAGGTATACCAAGAGCCCGGGCTTCTCCATAAAAGCTTTTCTGGCAAGCTGGAGGCTTTATTGGTTGTCCGCTGTAGGTTCTGGGTCATGGATGAATTTAGGGGTAGATTTTCCAGTTAGTGTTGTCTGGAAGTGTGAAGAGACAACTAGTTACAGATAATGGTTGTATCTTTATAAACATGTCTGCACATGCATGTGAGTGGTTTCAGAGTGAATTATACCTTGATAGCTTATGTGATACCGAAATCAAAGAAATGTTCCATATAACTGAGTTTTAGAATTTTAGATTTTTGGTACCTGGCAAGGGGTGGGATGGGGGTCTTTATAAATGGGACACGAAGAGATGCCTCTCTTTTAACAAAATGGAACAGTTACTACTTTGTATTTCTCTTGGCCAGTTCATGATGCATATACTTGCCCTCTGTACTCAAGTTTAGCATACTAGTTTGTTTTCTGTCTAGTTAATATGGTTTAATTGAGAGGCGTTGTCCTCCAAGAACGTGATTGGTTTGTGTTTGTGTGTTAGTTTGTTTGTTTGAGGCAGGGTTTCTCTGTGTGGCTTTGGAGACTGTCCTGGCACTCGCTCTGTAGACCAGGCTGGGCTTGAACTCACAGAGATCCTGTTGCCTCTGCCTCTGCCATCTGAGTGTTGGGATTAAAGGTGTATGCCACCAATGCCTTGTATACGTGATTGCTTTAAAGGCGTTTTAGATTTTTCTTTTAAGCTATTATTATAGCAGAGGCAAAGGTATTTGAAACTAAAGTCACTGTGCGTGGTGTTTGCAGCCAAAAACAGCCTCAGTTGGTCTGTTAAGTGAAGTAAGTTATCAAGAATGCATAATGTCTTGCCTCAACTCTGTAGGTCATAGTTTTAAAATGTTGGTTTCTATTCTTTCTGTTAGTAATTGAATTTTGTCTAGTGATATGAATAAAGTTCCAAACCTTGGGTTGATAATATTGTGCTGATTGTTTTTTCTACAACTTTCACCAGAACACCACTGCTGCCGTACACACAGCCCTATACACAGAGCACACTGCTGCCATACACACAGCCCTATACACAGAGCACACATAGCCATGAGCACTGGTTCCCTTCTGGGGTTGCTCTGCCATGCGCTGTAGGAATCCGCAGGAGAGTGAGTGTACCACCTGACTTGATGTAAGCATTAACTCCTTGTCCTTCCTTCATAAGTGACATCTTCCCTCTCTGTCTTCCTCACAACATCTCATCTTGATACACAGTAGGGAGTTTCAACCTTTGAGGAGAATTTCCAGGAGCTTATGGGTGACAGTCTAACTCAACGGTATATTTATTCTGAATGGCACAGTTTATGATCTTGTTTAGCAAACCTTCGTGTATAATGTTTTGATTCATCATGTGTTCTACCAAACAAAACATTGTGTTCCTTTAATATGTAATTCCTATTAGGCCATTGTGCTGCATGTCTTGAAAAGTAATTACTAAGCAAGTTCATGTCCATGCAGTATCCCATGTTAATGAGATATATGATGTGATTTAGTTAGAGCTGAACCTGGGGCCTTCTAATCCTTGATTTTCAGAGCATATGTTTTGGCAGTGCATCACTGTAGGTTAACTGCAAATATGAGGCCTTCTCAGATGAATTCATATTACAGTTTCACGTTACTAAGACAAAAGACCAAGAGTTATTGGGAATGCATCATCTAAAGTAATTCAGATGCAGACCTTGTAAAGAATCTTCTTGAATGGAAATGCTAGTGCTTCCTTAACTGACTGCCTTCACAGCATACTTCTTTGTTTGTGGCTTCCATTGAGAGCACTCAAGAATCCCCCAGCAGAATGTGTCAGACAGTGTGAGACGACATTGCCTCCTGTCTAATGATCTCTTTCCTGTTGCTTCTAGACCATGGCTAAAGTTATAACCACTGTCTTGAAATTCCCTGATGATCAGGCTCAGAAAATTTTGGAAAGAGAAGATGCCCGGCTGATGGTAAGTTCCAGAAGGGAGGTGTAGGAGGGTAGCTTTCTTACACTTTATGTTCTGCCTCATTTGCAGAGCCTCTCCCCACATAGAAGAACTTGGCATTTTTGAATGTCTTTTGTATTACAACTTAAAAAGTGGCGGTGGATGGACATTAAGAAAGTTTAAGCCAGATGTGATGAGGACTGTGAAAGGGAGAGAGTAGTCTTTCTCAGTAGCATTGTGTGGAGTTCCCAGAGCTTGAGCTGCGGACGGGAAAGATGGAGAAGACCTGGTCCGTTTGCTTCACAGAGCACTTTCTCGTATTGTAAAGTATTTCCATGTACATTGATTCTGAAGAATTTAATCATCTTTTAGGCCATTACCATGGCTCATCAGATAAAGACAGAGAGTGAGCAACACCAAAACCAACAAAAAAAAAAAAAAAAAAAAAAAACCAAACCTCTCAAGACAGACCAAAGAATGTTTAAGCATATCTAAAGGAAAACATTCGGTCCTTTATCCTTGAGTAAAGCAGTATTCATTCTAGAAAGTGATAAACTGGAGCTGGTTCTGAGTTAATCTTCCTTTACCCCTGAGGCTGACCTGCCTAGGCTTTAAACAAAGCCTCCTGGCTTTTGACACTTTACTTGCTGAATAAATTCAGTCTGTAGCCACCGTCTATTACAGTTGTTACAGAGACTATAGGAAATTGGAAGCTTTGAAGGACGTGGAATTTGGGGTAAGTGGTAACTTCCATCCAATCACATGTGAATGAAAGCAGGCCCTGAAGTGGAGAGATCCTAAAATATAACTTGAAAAAAATCAAATTGATTGTGTCCTGTCTCCCCCCCCCCCATTTTTTTTTTTTTTTAAATCAGTCTAAGAATATTGTTGGTATCTGTGAACTGACTCAGGATCATTTCCTCTATGTTTAAGAAAATTTCACTAATAAAGTATGTTGTAGTTGGCTGAAATTTGGAACCAAGAGATTCTTTTGTTATAAAGAAGCCTCTTTTTTTACGTTTTCCTAAAAGAGCATTTTTCTCATTGAAATGCTCCTGACCCCAAAGGCATAAATCTACACGTCTGTTCCCCTAATGATGGCACTGGCAGAGTATGTCTTCCCTTGGTCTCTGAGGGTTTGTTTTCTTCCTCAGTCACTCGCTTGTGCTCGGCTCTCACACTCACCCTCCATGTTGCCTGCTTGCTCTGTGCTTTGTGGTTTTAGAGGCTCACACCTCAAGCCTCACGCATGCTGGAGCCCTGCGTCAGTGAGCCACAACCTCGGCCTTATGCTTAGTTCTGGCTTAGTCCTCTATCATTCCGGTATTGTTGGTCTCTTTCAGTCAGAACTTTTTAAATCTCCCAGGTTGGTCAGTCATCTTTAATAGCATTTTAGGTGAAGTCTTCCATGCATGCCAGGTGGAGCTGGAAAACAAATTCAAATAAAAATGACGCATAATAAAAAATAACGTATATGTAAAGGTGTGTTTAACTGAGAAAGTAGTTTTGACTGACATTATCAGAGTAAGACTCTATCAGATCACTTTTTTTAAAATGTTGCAAACAATTCAGAAAAAGTACTTAGAAAATCTTTCATAATCTTTAACATCTCCAATCTTGCCCCATGCCAAGATCACCTCTGTCAATAGTGTGGCCAGCCAGGAACGTGCCTCGAAATCCCAGCACTTAGGAGGCAGAAGCAGAGGAAGCGCACGTTCAAGGCCATTGTGAGCCACGAAGCAGGAGACCCAGAACAAACCCTGAACCGCTGCACTAATCTTTTCTTTGCTCAATTCACTGAGTGGTTTTCGGTTCTTAAAATCGCAGGCAGGAGATAACCACACACCTATTTTTTATGTGCATCTGCAAATTTTCCTGCAGAATACTAACCTTACTATGTTGTGTGTATTGAAAAACATTTTTCTAGTTCATGGCTTAATTTTACTACTTTTTTCTGACTTCATATTAAATATATACATATTTCAGACGTTTGTCACACCATCCAGAAATAGACTTGAGTTGTTGAGTCTGTTGTCCTACTGTTACTCTAAAGCAAACTGTAAAGCAAACCGTAAAGCTAGTTAATGATGAAGGATGATGTCACCTGAAATTAGGGCGTAGGATTTATTTAGAAGGTTTGCTGTAGTAAAAATGAACTGAGATGAATTTCTATTATGATGAAATTACAGCATGGTATATCATTCCTGCAAACCATCTTGACACTGTGTTGAATTGTAAGGGAATTATCCAGTGTTGAAAGTGATACTTTTTAGGAATAAGAATTCAGTGTACAGGTACACTGTGTTTCATATTCATCAATTTCCAAAAGTTTATGCTGGTAAACTGAAATTATGTAATCAAATTTTAATTTATACTATAATTATGAAAAAAAAATCTTTATAATATAACCTCCTGATTTACTGGCAGTTAAAATGCATTCTTAGCATGAAGTACATCTTTCAGCATTTAAACTTTTAAATGAAAATTGAAAGTAAAAACTTAGGACAGAGGAAGCATTACATAGTCCTTACGCTTTGCATGATGACCCTCAATTTGAAAACAACTTAAGTACTATCGGTAATTCTGTCCACTTCATATACACAATATAACCTATGACCTATTTGTCTGACAACTAACCCAACAAGCTTTTCCTCTTGGCTTTGTAGTTCCCTTCACCTCGCAGTGGCATCTTCTGATACCCTGAGTCTGTGCTTAGTAAGCGTGTGGTGAGTGGAGAGACATATGTCTTGTGTCTTTGGTACTGAAATCATGGATATTGCATGCAACTAACCATTTCACTGGGATTATTTTGTTCTTTTTAATGAACATGATTATGACATTGGGTTTATGTAATTGCTTTCTTTTGATTATGTTAAACAGACTGATATATAGACTAACAGCCACCAAGAATTGATGGCCTTACAAAGAATGGCATTTGAAATTACTACAGACTACTATAGAGAAATAAAGTCATTTCTAGATGTGCAGTGATAAAGTACAGTGTGTACCGTGTTTCGAATTCAGATGAAGAACCTAAGGTACTTCAAAGCCTAACTAGAATGATAGCTTAAAGAGATGAAAACTAATAAAGTTGATTAAAATAAGCACAGTTTCATTGCATCCTAGGATCACACAGCTTGATGCAGGGTAGCACATGCGTTCTGTAAATGCTCCTGGGCAGCCTAGTTTAATTGACTGTGGCTATTTCTGATAACATTTCATTACAGTGAAATGTAATTTTCTAAAATGTTGCCCATGATTTACTGTCTTCAGTGTTTAAGGGTTCCCAGCCTCACACGGTATGCAAGCCATTAACTTCCTTTAATATTGCCTTCAACATTTAGGGAACACATACACCTTGAACTTGGCTGTAATTTTTACAAAGAAATTTAATCACAATGACTAAGCCCTGGTTGTACTTGATGGTTTCTTTCAGACATGAACAAATTAGCAGGATTAAGTCTGAGACATAATCTTTTAAGGGTTTTAGAAATAATTACTTACCTTAAAAAGATTTGTTTGTTTTCATTTTATGTATCTGTGTGTTTGTCCACATGCGTAAGCGCCACAGAGGCCAGGAGAAGGCATGAGACCCTTGCAATTGGAGTTATAAGGCGGCTGTGAGCCATTGTGTGGATGTTGGGACCCGAACCTGGTCCTCTACGGTAGCAGCTGTGCTCCTAAGCTGTGGAGAATGTCTCCACCCCTCTGCTATTTAAGTTTTGTTTTGCCTTTTAAACTGCCTGCGTTGAGTGTCATTTAATTTGCTTGCATGGTTATCTAGAGCTGTCTCATTCCTGTCTCCATTACAGTGACTGGCAGTGCAGAATATGGTTTTATTAGGTTGCTGTGATAAGCCTTGGGGACAGCCTGTGGAATCACCTTCAGAGGCAGACAGAAATATGGCAGGGGACAGATAGTGTCACTTGCCAGACAGGAGTGTGTCTCCCTTCTATTCGGAACGGCAGGACTTGGCCTTCCCACAGACTCTCCACCCCTCTTCCAGAAACCCTTTCACAGCGCTTATCACAAGTGCTGGTGCAGACACGGGGTTTGGTGCTCCTGGGAGCGGGGTAAGCAAGGAAGGCAGTCCGTTACCCTGCTTGTCTCCTGGCGGATGGTGGGCAGGCCTTGACCAGCATTCGCCTCTGGCTTGGTTTGGTGTGGTTTGGTTTTTTTAGGCAGGGTTTCTCTGTGTAGCCTAGGCTGGGATCTTCCTGCCTCAGGCTCCCTAACGATGGGATTACAGGCATGTGCCATGAAGCCTGCCTGCAGTGAGCTTTATTTTGCTGAGTGGCCTCTGTTCTGATGTCAGAGATTAGGGTTAACTGGAGTGGATCTAGCCATGCAATCTCTGGGAGACAGTTTTCAAGTGGAAGTCGCGGTGAGCATTAACTATGGCTCGGGTGACGAGAGCATTAACTAGTCACCCACGAGAGTAATACGAGGGGACAAGATTACAGGTAACTTCACGGGCATTTGAAAGGAACTTTTTACTTCACGTAATAAAAGCCATGCTGGCATCTTCTAGTCAGAAACATAAGAAATAATAACAAGTTTATGAGACTTACATGGCTGGAGGCTGATATCTACCTAGTAAGTCAGACAGTAAGTACTGTGCCGCACAGAGCTGTAGATAGCTGCTCTCTCACACTGAAAACGCACGTCTCGGCTTAAAACTCTCAGACCCAAGCTTTGCTAAAATAATTGAGTCTGCCGTGCCTTTCCAGTTTCTCACTCCCGGTTTCTGTCCACATAGTTCCCCTTCTGTGCCTCGTTGACAGTGACCTGTAAACATCATGCTGGCAAGCATCTGACACTGCAAACACAGTGAATAAATGTGTTTTTAAGAAGAGGCTAGTCATACACAGTATGACTGTCACACTCAATAAATGTAATACTAAGATAGTACTAATATCTGATATTATACATAGCATTCAGATTTTCCCGGTTTTTAAAAATTAACTTTTATTTAAATTAAAAACAATTTTATGTGCTAATCCCGGTTCCCTTTCCCTCCCGTTGTCCCATTCTCCCACCAACCCCACATCCCACCCCCATCTACTCCTTAGGTGAGGCCTCCCGTGGGGGACAATTTTCCCATATTTGAATGAGATCTTTCATAGATATTTAAGACCCCAGGCTCCACCAGGAACATGCATTGCATCAAGTAGTCATGTGTTCTGAGGTCTCTTTCAAAGTGAGGTCTTGGCCGTTTTGCTCTCATAACATTGATGTAGTTAGTGCCTCTTTGACAACTGAATTTTGTTTCCTAGAGGTGTTTGAGCCATGGTTTCAGAACTGAAAAGGAGTGCCTGACCAGGATCCTCACAGCTCTCCATTGGGCTCTTGGCCAGCGTGATTGTTGAGCTGGCTTTATAAACGAACACTCAGACACCTTGGCCTTCCCCCTCTGAATGTCAGTGGACACTTGGGCTCCATACTTAACATTTTAAACAGCGTACTCCATCTGAGCACTAGTTTGTAGCATTTTAATCTAGGAGACTCTTAGGGAGATTCTGGGTTTGTGTCTCAGCGTTTTGTAAGTTCTAATGGACTTGGAGGTGAAATGTAGCCTTTTACCCCACAGAGCCATCACAATGCCATTTGTCTTCTTTTTTTTTTTTTTTTTTTTTTTTTTTTTTTGCCATGCATAACGTGAGAGAATTGTAGGATGTAGGAGAGCTGCGCCCAGGAACGTGGAACCGCCTCCTTCCTGAGCACAGTTTGAAGAGTCATGTCTGTGGGCTCTCCACACGGTGCAGGTGGTTCATGGTCAGGGCCTCAGCTTCAAAATCCCCGCTTAAATACTGTTCTCCGGGATTGCCCAATCAGTTTAAATTACTAGTAGGTTTTAGACGATTCCATCAGAAATCAATATTTCAAATGTTTTTACTTTTTTTTACTGTTATCTCTAGAGTGTTGATTTATTTTACCTTGAGAAACCAAACAATTCTCACAGAAGGTTGGCTATGAAGGCTTGTTTGTTTCTTATTTCACTCTGATTTCCTTCCCTTCCCTTTCCTTTTCAGTCATGGCTCCGGACTTCATCTTGAAGAAAGGGAACGTTGAAGCTGGCAACCGCCGCTGTCCCTGCTTGCGGTTTTTGAAGGAAGGTGATGTCTTTACGGGCCATTTTGTCATGAAGACAGGTACCCTGGCCCAGCCACAGATGTCCTGCTTTTGAAGCAGATGTTCTTGGTAGAGCAATGGTGATGGTTTTTCCTGGGAAGTCTCTGTGGGTTAGAGGCTCTTCTGACTGGCCTGGCCTGGCCACCCAGTGTCTCAGTTTTTGGTTTTTTCCCTCTTTCTAAAGAACTGCCTGTCTTCCTTATTTATTTTAGGGTGATTTTTTTCTTCTTCTTAAAGACTTGTGCAATATATTTTGAGGTGAAACCTAGTGAAATTTTTTTCTGACAAATTAGAGAATTTAATGGACTATTTCCCAGATTGATTTTTTTGAATATTTGCTAAAGCCTAATTCTTTAAGCTATGATAAGTCCCAAATGGCAGCACCTCATGTTTACCTAGCTTTTATACTGATATTATTTTTCAGAGGAAAAAAATACTACTGTAAATTGTAAATAGTCAATACATAGCCCTATTGTATGCAGACCTGTGACTGTTGGCCATGTCATCTCAGAGGATCAGATAAATAAAGTTTATTTCCTATATAATATTTCTCATTGTGCTTCTTCTTAGGTTGAAATCACTTCAGGCTGGTTAAGCACCCATGTTTCAGTGAAGTGAATGTAGAGAGCTATGGAGTGAGCTAACCAGGAGACACTAGGAAAGCTTTGTCTGGGTGTGTGTCCAGCATTAATATGAGCAACGGGAAAGGCGCGGACCCCGCCTCTGGTGTGTTGCAGGAGGACTCTGTAGGTGCTGGAGGTCACCTAAGCATAACATGACAGAGAAGCTTCTGGACACCAAGCTGTGGGAACTGCTAAGAAGGGGTCTCATAGCCTTCACGTTCCGGGGAACATGGTACTCAGACTCTTAGTTCTATAGAGCGCCTGCCTCAGATTGAACTTCAGTTGTCCAGCCAGTTGGCTAGCCTTGTTGGGGGTTCGTGCGCTATGATGAAGTGTGCTGTGGAGGAGGCCGGGCCACCTACACCCTACAACTGACTTCCCATGATTCTTTAGAGAGAGGACAGGAATCACACAGCCCCCCCCCCCCCCCCCCCCCGCCACACTTACCTAAATTGACAAGGTTGTGTCCCACTGAAGGGTTTCTGACAGTAATATGACTGTCTTTTTTTCATGCCTCTTTCCAGGGAGTAAGCGATGGCCTCTTCTGTGCGGTCAGTGTGACTTCTTGTAATTTGTCCTTAACCCGTTTGTGAACATACCCAAACATAAAAGCAGGGGCAGCCCTAGTCCTGAAATTCACCAGAAAACCAGTTCTACCATTTTGGCAGAATTTAATCAAGCTTTTATTAAGATACCAAATACTGACCTTGATGGAATTTGGTCAGGACCACCACCTGGGAGCTTTTCCAGCTGTATGGCCTGGAGACACATGTTGGCGGGGCTTATACCCACAGGCCACTGTAATTTCCCATGAGGCTTTGTCGTTATTTCCCAAGAACTCCAACTCCCAGAACCCCAGGAAGTTACCTGGGTTTGGGCAGGTGGGGCTTACAGGTTAGCTTCAGGTCTGACATGAGTTGGCAAAAATTTTCTATAATAGGACCAGCTAGTGAGCATATTTGGTCCCAGAGCCCTGTGCTTTTGTGTTGCAACTTCCTAAGTCCTTCGTTGTAGTCCGAGCAGCTCTAGATAATTCTTAAATGAGTGAACAAGGTGTGTTTCAATAAAACTTTATCTTATTTTTTATTGGATGTGTAGTGTCCATACATGAGTAAATGTGCTTGGATGTTTCACCTCCCGATTCTCTTCCCCTTTCCCTCCTAACAACGTGTACTCTCTTTTTAAAATTACAAATTCAATACCTACTGAGTCCGTTTAGTGCTGCCTGCATGTGCGTGGCCTTGGAGCAGACCGCCTCCCTTTCCCTGCCAGGCGATCCTCTGTGAGAAGCGGGGCTTCATGGGTCCCTCCCCATCCATGCTGGGGTCTTGGCTGGCTAGTTATCTAAATTGTTCTGTTATCAGTAAAAGTAGGAGTCAGTCAGACATCCGATAGCCCCCAACAGGTTTGATCTTGTGCAAGTCTTGTGCTTGTAGCCCCAGGGTTTGGGAGTTCATGGGCGCAACTGTGCTGTCATGGACTGTTTAAAATGTTATGTTCAGGGCTGGTGACAGGAGGTGGAGAGATGGCCCAGCCATTAAGAATATTTTCTAGTCCTGCAGAGGACGTGGGTTCAGTTCCCAGCACCCACTTAGTGGCTTGCAACCATCCATAACTAGTTCTGGGGGATCTGACACCCTCCTCTGACCTCCATGGGTCCCAGGGTATATATGCAGTCCACATGTATATATACAGACAAAACAGGGTTCGTTTCTAGGGTGTATTCTCCCGGCTCCTGGGGAAGGAGTCAGCCTGGGCTTGTAAGCATGGAGTGAAGAGAGGGTTAGCAGTTTACACGCAGAGGCTGCTTGCGAAGCTCAGTGACTCACAGGAGCATTGTCTCAGCTCGCCTATCCCCGTGAGAAGCGGGGCCTTTGGCTGTGCCTGATGTTAGCCCCTTGGGCCCAGGGAAGAACTCTCAACGTCGACAACACAGGTTGAGACTGGGAACTTTGTCTTCCATTCTCTGTACCTGAGAAACAAAAGTTGATAATGGCTGTGGGTGAGCTCCAGACCGCAGAGAGAACCTGCCGTCTCAGGGCTCAAGCCAGACCCAGCTCAGGCCCACATGCCTGAGTGAGCATTCTGAGTCCGTGCCTTTTTAGACATCATCTTCTAGTGGCTTTACCTAGATTTGAAGGGCCGAAGTACAGCCAAAGCATACCCATGGCAGCGGCAGGTGGGGACATCAGCAGGAAGGACACTGGCATACCCTGTGTGCCCACAGTGTCCCCTCCTTGGTTTGGAACATCTTTACTTGGGTTTTGTTCTTTAGAAAAGCTCAATGTTGAACACTTAATGATGCAACATAAGCACTTTAAAGTTTTAAAATTATTTCTTAGGTGAGCATGCAGAGAGTCACTGTACACGGGCCCCTTTTAACAGAATAAGCAGCCTGCAGTGCAGGCGGCCTCATCATTTTCCAGGTAGTTGATGGGCTGGAGAGGTGGCTCAGTGGCTACCCTGCTTTTGGAGAGGACTGGAGTTCGGTTCCCAGCACCCACATCAGGCAGCTCACGGCCACCTGTGACTCCAGATCCGGGGATCCAGCGCCCGTTCTGGCTTCTGTCATTGCCGCACACAAGCGCATGTGTGCACACACGGACACAGTCACATAGGTAAACATTCTTTCAAAAAGGTTTTGCAGTTGTTCACCTTGCTGCTGCAGGGAGGCATCTGCCTGCCCCTGTGCCGGATGGGCACACAGCTTGTGAAGAAGGAGCGTGTCCTGTACTCCGTCCGTCCCTGTCCTCCTGCCTCCACGCCAGGAGTAGGCAAGACACAGCATTTGTCACTGAATTCATAGTCTCATATAGAGGATGACATCCTGAATGTGACATCCGATGCAGCCATGGGACCAGGCTTCCAGGTTGTCGTCAGGTGAGTGTCCTTCACTTTGGGGGTGGCCAGGAAGGAAGTGCTTCTCTGGCTGCCCTTGAGGTTTGTAGTGGCCTGGTTCTTCACGCTTCTGCTTTGGAGTTTTTTGCAAGTACATACCTTGTTGTGGTTATCTCCCTTTGGATGGGCAGAGCCCCTTTCCCCACCCACCACCCTCAGGCTGGCCACAAGTGGACGGTACACATGTTCCACCCGAGCCCCTGGATGGGCCGGCCCTTCTCTGTTCCGCCACAGGACCGAGGTCTTGAAAGGAAGGGGGTGTCAGGGAGCGTGAAGGGCTTTGGTACTTAGGCATGCCCTTGTGAGAGCTGGGAGAACTGCAGGGCAGTGCCACCGTGTCCAGGCTCTAGCAGTTTGGCTGTGGTGCGTTTGGCATGCACTTCCCTGTTGCAGTTTCCCTGTCCAGCCAGGTCCCGCCACACATAAGCACACAAAGACTTATATTATTTTATAAACTGTTGGCCTACGGGTAGGGCTTCTTATAGGCTAGCTCTGTCTTAATTGGTAACCCATACAAATCTATGTACTTCTACTTGGCCTTATCTTAACAGCGGACACATGGTGCATCCCATCCTCCTGGTCTCTACATGGCGTCTCTCCGCGGTCTCCCTCTGCCTACATTTCCCAGGATTCTCCTCATCCCCTAGTCCCGCCTATCTTCCTGCCTCCATTGGCCAAACAGTGTTTTATTCATCAACCAATAAATATACACAGAAGGACATCCCTCCATCACTTGTATGGATGAGAAGTAAGTGCAGCAAAGAACTTGAGCAGGAACTACAGAAACATGGAGCTGATAGGCAGAGTCCTCTTGAAATTCAGTGGCTCACTGAGGAAATTCCTAGAATCATATGAGTATGAAAACAGACATTCACGGAAGCCTTTGGGACACATGTGCTGTGGGAAGAGTCGGAGCAGGAGAAACGAAGCGGTGAGGAGCAGGCCGATGGGGGAGGCCTGCATGCCACCAGGGCCATGGTGACGCCTGGGCCCAGGCTGCTGCCGAGGGCCGTGTCAGGGTCCATGGTCCAGCTGCAACTGGGGCCTGTGTCACCTCAAGAGGCCATAGGGATCGTTTGTGACAAAGTCAGACGGTCATGCTGAGCCAGCCCTGTCCTTTGCTGGCCCTGCCTCTCCCTGGAACCTGTAGCAAGAGAGCTGGCCCCAACCCTCATGTGCGAGCTGATGCTGCACTAGGGAGAGATGTCCCTAGCCCTCACCGCAGGAGAGGAAGAGCTGACCCTCAGGGCATGGGCATAGGGGAGCTGGATCTGTCCCTTTGCCTGAGGAGGGTGGCCCCAGTGACCTGGTCTGACCAGCTCAGCTCCCACCCAGGCCCACAGCCCAGGCCCGGGGCTGGCCCATCCTAACATCTACCCCATGTAGGACCTGCTGGAGTTTGTGAAGGAACTGGTCCTGTGGAATGAGACGTGCAGGACTCTGGGACTCAGGTGGTTTCAGGGCATCCCAGAGGAGTCTCAGTGGGCACCCAGTATTGACGGTGTAACGGAAACTAGGGGTCTTGAACAAGACCAATGACTCATTGTAATGTGCATTTGCTAGCAAAACTGATTGAACAAAAGCATATACTATGTGAACCTCTGCTCCCAATGCCACCAAGATGAATGAAGAGGAGTTGGAAAGGCTGGAAAAATGGAGCCGTGAAGAGATTTTCTGTTTTTGTCCTTGTTTTTGTTTGTTTGCTTGCTTTGTTTTGTTTTGGCTTGTTTCTTTTTTAATTTGCAGGATGAGGGGAGAATATAGGAGGGACTGGGAGGTAAGCAGAATTAGCATGCATGGTGTGATATTCCCAGATAATCAATAAAGAAATTATGTTTTTAAAGGGCGGGGGCAGCCTGGGACATATAGTTCCAGGCCATTCAAGGCTACATAGCAAGACCAGGCCTCAAAACAACAGAAAACAATTGAGAGAGAGTGCAAATGAATAGTGTCAATGATGACCTCTTAGCTTTTGAAAACTAAAAGCAAGGCAAAGGCCAGATTAGCTGGAGAAGGAACTGAAGGG